GTCACAAATTTAAGTAGTTTATTGTGACAAATTTTTAGTGACTAAATATTATTTCTGTGTCCAAATTATATATTATAATATTAAAAATTAATATTAGTAATTATTATCTTAAATTAGTCACAAATATAAAAAATACTAGTGACCAATTGATAATGAGTCATCATTTTCAGTCATAAAAAACCCATTTTCTTGTAGTGGATGTAAATGCCATTGTCTTCTTCCTCATGCTTTCTCTCTCCTTCTTTCTTTTCCTTTCCCCCTTTTCTTCACTACATCTGAATGGCTAAGCGAAAATAGATTCCTTAACACTTTTCTTGCTTATCAATGACACTCGGTTTCTCCTTCTCTCTTAGATTTAACCCAAAACAAATACTCAAAAAACTTCCCAATATTATTACCATTTTCTAATCACTTAACTCCATCTTGTCAGCAAACTTGTTAAATTGTCAGAATTGCTTCTTTTTTGCTTCTCTCAACCAACCATCCCTCTAAAAAAGTTTGCTTCTTCTGCTAATCATCTTCCTTGACTCATTCTCTTTGCCATTTCTCCTGTTATGCTAGCATTGGTAATGGAGAGGTATTGTTTGTCTTCTCCAATTTTCTTTTTATTAAAGTTAAAATTAAGAGATTAAAGTTAATCTATTAAGATTATTTCTAGGCACATAAGGGACAATTTTTCTTCATAAATATATAGGTTAAATTTAATAAATAACCTAGCTATTACCTACGAATATTTTATCTATTTTATTTACTAACTGTTTTTTTTTTTCATATAGATAAGGGCATTTACGTTCTTTTGGCTTTTAGTTTTGTTTTTTTCTCGAGATAAAATTTATTTAAGAAAAAAATGCATACCAACCTTAACTTCTAAAAAAATTAAAGTGATAATCTTAAATTAAATCATTTTATTTAATTAAATTTAATTTAAAATTTATCTTATTAAATATTAATATTTAAATTTTAAAACTGATTAAATTTTTAAATTTTAAATTAAAATTTAGTTTTTAGATATAAGTTGAGACTTTAATTTATTTTGAAAGTAGAACTAATTAAGATGCATTAATCTATTTATTTAATTAGTTTAATTTAAATATTATTTAATTGAAAGTCTAGATGGCCAATAATGTTAATTTTTTTTAGGGCATGGTGCTTACGTGGTGCCAGGTAGGCACAATGCAAGGGCCAATGTAGATTTCCGTTAGTTCCACTGACGGGATTTTAACAGAGTAGACTAATTTGATATATTTTTAAAAGTTAATAGACTACATAGGCATAAAAAATAATTAATAGACAAAATAAATAAAAAGTATATAGCGAATATGGCCTGAGGCCTAGTGGTTCGCCCATAAATCTTAGGGGTTGGATGAGGCAGAGGTCAGGGTTTCGAACTCTGTCACCACGCCTAATGACCGCATGCCTCATTTGAGGGGGAGAATTCCAGTTACTAATACCTAACTCATACTAACTTCTTAACCATTACCCTTGTAAAAAAAAAAAAAAAAAAGTATATAGGTAATAAATCATTGTTAAATTAAGTCACGTGGTAAGATAATTACTCTTGATTCCTTTGGAAATAATTCTTCACCCTTTAAATTCATATTCTGCTCTCTTTTCCCTTCCACACATTAAAAATCAACAATGGATTTTTTCCTTGTTCTCTCCCTGTTAGTTTTTGCTGGTTTTTTGTTTGGGCTTCGCCGGGGACTTCCTTACCCTCCAGGTCCAAAAGGGTATCCAATCATAGGCAACATGAACATGATGGACCAACTAACCCACCGGGGATTGGCTCGGCTGGCCAAGAAGTACGGTGGCCTCCTCCACCTCAAAATGGGAGGACTTCATGTTTTCGCCGTGTCGACACCGGACATGGCGCGAGAGGTCCTCCAGGCCCAAGACGCCGTCTTCGCCAACCGGCCCGCCAATGTCGCCATTGCCTACTTGACATACGGTCAAGCCGACATGGTCTTCGCCAACTACGGCTCATTTTGGCGTCAAATGAGGAAGATCTGCGTTATGAAGCTCTTCAGTAGAAAACGGGCACAGTCCTGGTCCTCAGTCCGAGACGAGGTGGACTTAACAGTCCGAACCGTGGCCCAAAATCTCGGGTCTCCGGTTAACATCTGCGAGTTGGTGTTGTCTCTGACGAAGAATATGACGTACAGAGCAGCGTTTGGATCTTTCTCGAGGGAAGACCAAGATGATTTCGTGAAGATAATTCAGGAATTCTCCAAACTTTTTGTAGCTTTTAACATCGCCGATTTTTTCCCGTGGTTGGGTTGGATTCAGGCGGGTGAATTCAACAGAAGATTAGTCAAGGCTCGATCGTCGCTTGATGGGTTCATTGATAAGATCATCGAGGAGCACATGCAGAAGAGGAAAGCCAGCGGAGACGAAGCGGCGGATACTGATATGGTGGATGAATTGTTGGCTTTTTATGGCGAAGTAGACGCTTCTAAGGCGGCGTTTGACGATTCCCAATCTTCAATTGAGCTCACCAGAGATAACATCAAAGCCATCATCATGGTAAAAATAAATAAGTTGCCTTTTGGTTAAATAATTTTAATTAAGCCATCATCACTGTGAATTATAATCATAACTACAGTTACCTAGAAAATAGAATTTAGTTGGATTAAATTCATTAAATTAAAAGTTTTAATTTTTTTTTGAAAGAGTTTACAATAATAGAATGAGATATTTGAATTCTAATATTTGAGTTGGAAGGATGCACCTTACTAAATGATTTATAACTAGACGGTTTATAGTTGTTGACCACACGAATTAAGTGCACATTAAAAATTTTAATTTAAAATATAAATTTATATAAAATTAAATAGATTACATCCATAAAAAGTTTTATTGAATTTTAAAATAAAAGACTCTTAATATATATAAAGATTGATTTTATTTAATAATTAATATAATACAATTCAAATTGTATTATATTTTTTATTAAATTTTTTAGCATATATGTAAGGTTAATGTAAATAATTGGAGTTTTGATTTATATTTGAAATTAAAATCTCATTATATTAAATATTGATATTTAAATTTAAAAATTAATTATATAAAAATATATAATTAGTTTTCAAATCTAAATATTAATATTTAATAAGATAATTTTTTTAATTTTATATTAAATTTTAATTAAATAAAACGATTTAACTCATAAATTAAATATGAAACTTTAATTTATTTTTAAGAGTTATCATTTTTCCCTCTATATGCACATATATATATAAAATCATAATCACCTTATATAACTTTTTAATTTTTATTATTAAAAAATTATTATGCAGTTAAAGATTATATCATACTGCACAACCGTTACATGGGGCTAACTCAGATATTGTAGATCTCCTTCAAGAGTTTATATTTTACATTCGGTACAGACTGCAAAACATGATTAGCTTTAGTCATTGACTTTAGATTGACTCTCAAAATCATCCTTACTTCTTTAGGATGTGATGCTAGGTGGAACTGAGACGGTGGCGGCTGCAATCGAGTGGGTGATGGCAGAATTGATGAAGAGTCCAGAAGACATGAAGAAGGTCCAACAAGAGCTCGCCGACGTGGTGGGGTTGTGTCGATTCGTCAAAGAATCCGATATCGAGAAGTTAACCTATCTAAAATGTACCGTCAAGGAAACCCTTCGTCTCCATCCGCCAATCCCTCTACTCCTTCATGAGACTGCTAAGGACACTGTCGTGGCCGGCTACAGACTTCCGGCAAAGTCGTGCGTCATAATCAATGTATGGGCCATCGGGCGTGATCCCTCGGGCTGGGTCGACCCAGAAGTCTTCAAACCTAGCAGGTTCTTGACTAATGATTCCGCGCCGGACTTCAAAGGAAGTGACTTCGAGTTCATTCCGTTCGGTTCAGGTCGGAGGTCATGCCCAGCAATGCAACTAGGGTTGTATGCGTTAGAGATGGCGCTGGCCCATTTGCTTCACTGCTTCAACTGGGAGTTACCGGACAGAATGAAGTCGAGTGAACTCGACATGAGCGATGTGTTTGGACTCAATGCACCTAGAGCGATTCAACTCGTTGCGGTACCGACTTATCGGTTAAGTTGTCCTTTCCTGGTTGAGTAAGAAATGAGTGTGAGAAGCAGAGATGTGGGTATCTTATTTTGTGGAAAGAACCAAAAGAAGGCCGAATAATACAAGGAAAAACTGTTGTGCATTAGATTGCACAACGGACACTGATGTTACGGCCTCTCTCTATACAACTATTCTTATTTTGTAGTTGTTATAATTTAAATTGGAAAATAAAAATATTTAATATAAAAATATTGAATAAAGAGTCTCTTTTAACCCTCTCAACAAAGAAATTTTTTTTTTAAATATTTATTCGAAGGGATAACTCATAATGTCAAGTTCCTGCATTAGCTATTTAATGGTTAATTTAGTGTAGTCCAATATGATAAACATGAGTTTGGACTGCACCAAAAACTTCAGTCTGCCATTGAAACAAAAAATCAAAAATACCCTTCATAATATTTTTTTTTTTTTTGAAAAGCAATACCCTTCATAAATTAATAATGCGTAAAGATTTATTAATGATACTTTTCTTTTTCCCTATCCCATATTGATGTTTTTAAATATTTTAAACACAATCAATTACGAGAAAAAACTATTATGAAGAAGAGTTTCACATTTTATATTCCAATAGAGTTTTACATCTTGAAATTTAAATTATATTTAATTGTAAAATAAGAATTATTAGATGAAAAATGATCTCCAATATTTTTTTTTTTTTGAACAGCAAACTTTATTGAAAATGAGTACAAGGGGTACTCAGCCCAATACAACACACAA